TGCGACGCCCTGACTGCCGCGTCTGCTCCGCAGGTCTGCTGGAGATCTCTCCCGTGGAAAGAGGAGTGGTGAGCATATTCGGCGTGAAGAGCGGACTCTTCGTGGCCATGAACAGCAAAGGCAAACTCTATGGATCTGTAAGTAGCTGCCGGGCTGTGCGTGGGTAGGGGGTGAGAGGCTGCACAGCGCTGGAGCTCACCTGCTGCCCAGGGAGGCTAAGCTCACTGAGCTCCTTGTGCAAAACCCACTCCCGGCATTCCGGGCGCTTCCTTAGCTACCCCATAGAAAGTAGAGTCATTCAGCCATGGCCTCTTGTCGGGCCTAGTGGGCTCACCAGCAGAGCAGGTCCCCATGGATCACAAGCTCTCACGGCAGCCACAATCCCTATCTTCCCTATGCTGAGGTATGAACAGCTTCAGGTACTTATGGCAGTCCCTTGCCCATCTCTCAGAGGACACTTGAACTTGTGATCAGCCAGGCCCCCTATATGATTCTTTATGATATGGTAAATCGGTGCCTGCCACATGCTTAGTGATCACCCCTTGTTCATACTCTGCTTGGAGAGTCCATTCTGATGAGGATTCAGCATCTTCAGGGGTTAGGCTTATACATATACATACAAGATGGCAAGATCTATTAGGAGACAATACAGCTCTCTTTCTTTTATACTGAATCTTGGGAACAAATAGCTAGAGGCATCTTTTAAAACCCATTTGGGTTTTACAGTAACAGTGGAGGTCTTTGCCCATTTCAAGCTGTCCTTCTGCTCTTGAGTTCACCTTGGTATAAGTTGTGGTCAGCATCATTTCATCTCCAACTCCTGACCCATGGCTTTTCTATTTCATAACTCTGGTTATGTTTTTAAGGAACTTGAGCTGAGGAAAGGCCCAGCTATACCAGAGCTAACTGGCACATTTCCTCCTGACTTGAAGTATCCAGAATTATGCTGTGGCAGCAATCCTGCCACATAGCATTTTGGCTTTAATTCCAAGCTGGGCAGGATCAGCATCATTTCTTCCCAAGGTGTTATGGTGGTCCAGTGTCCTGGATAAAGTAATCCCCAGGCAGGTTGAGACTTAAAAGCCCCTTGGCTTTTGCCCAGAAACTGCCCAGATTAGGTCTTTTGTTCCTCAGCAGCTACTGCACCTGTAGCACCTGTCCCTCTCCGCACTTGCCTAAGAGCCCACGTCGCTGGGAGTGAGATGCCTTGTCACTGGTCAGCCAGCTCCTGCTTTGGGGGTGAGGCAGACTCCTCATGCAGGCCCGCGAGTATCAGTGGAGCTATGCATTTTAACACGGGAACACAGGCGCAGGCTGCCATTCATCTCTGCCCCAGTGTGTGTTCTACCCCTCTTCTCACTAACTGGAAAGGGGCATTGACCAAATGAGAGGAGCAGGAGAGCAGCCCAGAGCTCTGCCCTTGCCCCACTGTGCTGTCACCACCGTCAAAACGTGAACATAGACTTTGCTGCGGGGTGTCCTTCCTGGCGTACATGCCTGGTCTGGACAAGGGCATGATCCTTCGAGTCCCCAGTGTTGTTCGAAGCTTCGCTTGTGCGATCGTTTCAATGCTCCCGGGGCAGAGCCAGCCGCGCTGTCCTGCAGCACGTGTACTACACCCGGCTGCAAGAATATTTCCACACCTGGTGTTTAAAATTCCTTCCCGCTCATTCTCTCCTTTTCATTTCAGACCCACTTCAATGATGAGTGCAAATTCAAAGAGATTCTCCTGCCAAACAACTACAATGCTTATGAATCCAGGATTTACCCCGGGATGTACATAGCCCTGAGCAAAAATGGAAGAACAAAGAAAGGCAATAAAGTATCTCCCACAATGACAGTGACACATTTTCTTCCTAGAATTTGAGAAATCTCCCTTCAGATCTACCTCAGCACGGGGGAAGAGAGAGAACGCATTTGGGGAAAGGAAACATGGTGCACTTTTACTGCAGAGTTTTATGCAAGAGTAGGTGTAAGATATTTAAATTATTTAAATGTGTATATATTGTCACAAAAGTTATTTATAGTTGTTTTTTGTTCTTGTTTTTTTTTTTTCAATTTCTGAAAACAAAACAAACCTCCAACCCAAGGTATTTCATTTCATTGCATTAGGCAACTTCTGCTTTGTGGTTTATTTAATTCATTTTTAAGTTATCACAGGTGTGCTGCTATTACATGTTTTAAAACAAGTGAAATTCAATTCCTATATTACAATGTTTTGCACTGTTTGTGTGTTGTACAGCATCTATTGTTGTGCAAGTATTTGTTTGTTAATGTGGTTTTGCTCTTCTTTGTGTGTTTTTAAAACCCCTGTGATTCCCAAAGAAGGTCTTGGTCTTTGAAAATGAGCTGTCTCAACCTTCCCCAGTTCTGATGCTAGCCTGTAGCCACACACAATGTCTGACCTCCTTTGTGCAGTGTTGCTATTTAATTGAACCAGTATCGGTTTACCTCTGGTACAGAAAGTGCAACGTTGAAGAGCTACCCCACAAATCTGTTTTTAGATCTGCCAGTGCTGAACTCTGAACTTTCCTGCAGTCTGTCTTCTCAGAGCTACTAGGCAGCAGAGAGGCTTAAACAACTATATAAACTCAGTGGGTTTTTAAAATTTCTGTTTAGATAAACAGGGGCACACAACCTTTTGTGGCCCTTAATTGAAGAGTATATTTGATACAATTGGTTTGCATTAGGCAATAAAAAATGTGTGTGTTCCTCCCCCAGTGAACACACTGTGAAATATGCTACTATGAGCAAATTATATCGTATTCAAATCCAATTCCCTTTCATAATTGGGGACTACATGTATTTTTCAAACTCTGTGAAACACTATAGTACTCAAAAGTTTTGAAAGGCAAAATTATTTCACAGTTCTTAAGACACCAGTTCTGTAGATAGAATTTAGATTGATTTCAGGTAATTGAGGTTGTTCTATACTATTTATTATTTTTGGTGCAGTATTTGGAAGGAGAAATATGCTGCTTTTTTTCTATGTCTCATTCCCTGACAAAGTTGATTAATTTCTACCTCACTAATGCTTGAAGCCAGTCTCCTAACAAAATCTGCACGGAAGGTACATGCTTTCCTGCTTGGTTTTATAATTCTGGAGAGGGGCCATGGGGAACAATCCTTGTAATCCCAAATCTTTTTTTTTTTTTCCATATGTAGCCAAAAGTATCCAAGATAGAGTCGGTTGCGTCCTATTTGAGCCTTGTCACGTTTGAGCTATCTTTACCCCGTGATTTACTTTTAGTAAGGATAATCATGGTGAAAATATTTGCAGACAGCTGTCAGGCTGCAGTACTATATCGTCATCAAGTAACTCTATATTTTTCTTTATATATTTTGCACGTGTAACTCATGTCTCTAAAGTAGTGAAGGGAAAGACAGGTTTGAATATGAGGGAATCACAAAAAGGACCCTTTTGCTTGCTTTCTTTCATTTCTTTAGACTACTTTATCTTTGCGACATCAATACTTTGAGTTGTAACTGGGACTAACCACAATGTTTAACCAATTAGAAGATCTCTACAGATCATCCTCCAATTTGAACTAATTATGTTTAATTACATGAAAATCTCAAGACTGCAGGTAATTTGAGTTTGGCTTTTTTTCTCTTTTTTACATTCCTATACAAAAGTTTTTGTCCTTTGGAATCATATAGACTCACCTACTTACAAATGACCTTGAAGACAAAATCTACTCACAGAAGTTCAGTAAAATCAGAGCAGAGCAGGACCAGACCTCGAGTCAGCTTCTGTCAAAACAAAAACAACAATTAAAAAAAAATGAAGCCAAATCAAGAGAGCACCTAGGAAATGTCACGCCTAGGGATTTATTTTCCTGTAATTTGGGGGATTTCCGTACTTTCTATGTTTCCTATATGTAAGTGAACATTGTGTATTTATCACCACTACCTCTGACAACTGATGATTTTGTTCCAAGTTTCAGACAGCAAAACCAGATCACAAAGAAATTGCCTGGGAATGGTTCTTTGTCACTTTTCACTCCATCAAAATGCACAACTGACAGCCTCACACAAGATACATTCAGAGGTAGTAGTTGTAACGTTGAAATATTGTGATAAAACCTTGATAACAATGTTACACAGTAGGAGCTTTCACCATTTACCAGAATTTGTCTGTAGTTTTATACAGGTGCTGTTCAAGACTGTGGTGTATGTGCTGTGCACATTTAAATGCATAATAAATGACAAACATTTACAACCTATGGCACCTTTGTATTGATTTTAACTTCTTAGAATGGAATGTGTCCTGCAGTTAAAGACAGAAACTGCTATTTCATTTTCGCAAAGGATCTCTGTCAGATCCTTTAAGAATGCCAATCTGGATTTCTTACTCAGCTAAAATTCACTCAAAGTTGGATGTTTTCCAGGAAAGCCCAGATTCATGAACTTGATTATAAATCTGCAGACCTCCATGTGCCACAAATTAGCATTCCTGTTTGTATTAGCTGTGTGCTTATTAACAACAACAACTTCAGGGTGTTAGTCATACAAATGAAACCAGAATGCCCTTTCCTTGGCTTTAAAGAGTGCTTCTCGCTCGCTCTGCCATGCTTCAGTGGAATAAGTTTACACTGATTTTAGGTATCAAGTGCTTGTCACAAACACTGATTACATTCTTACAGGTGTATACAAAGATTAAGTGCTTTGTAGTACAGCAGACAATAAGATCCACTTGCACAATTTTATTTATAAATCCTCATGCATATGTGCCTTTGCACACTTCCACACACACACCATGTCAGATCTCTACGCTTTCAGTTTTACTCATGGGTAAGCCCTTTCCTAAGATTAAGGGAGGATATGTAATGGGAATGACAATATTCAGGTTTCGTCTTGCATTCCTTGATGGCAAAGGGAGTTTATTCGGCTAAGAGCTATGTGAAATAGAAAGCCACATGCCAAGAAAGCCAGACCCGAGATACAGACTTCTCTACTTGATTTTCCACTGAATGGTATTCCCTTTCCTGTTCCTAGAAAGGGGATGCCAATAAAGGAACTGTGAATGGCCAGGTTGTCACTTTGAGCAAGAGCAATTTCTCTGTAAAGCTATGCAGCTCTATCAGATTGCAACATAGAGTTTTCTTTCCTTTTTTTTTTTTTCTGAACAAAAATAGATGCAGTGTGTTTAATGCTCCTGTGGATAGAATTAGAATGATTAAGCAAGCAAACATATAATAATTTTTCACAATTATCTTTTTATTTGCACTGCTTGTAAATGATAAACAAGTGTAAATTTGGAAGACTGCAGGGTCCTCCAAAACTACAGCCAAAAGTTACAGCTGGGGAAAAGACTTTGAGAACTGGGGAGACATTCCAGTGTAATGTTAAGATCAGAGGTAAATCCTAGGACTGGCTCCTAGGAAGGGGAGATTTCAGTGTAGCAGTTTTGTGGGTTCATAGCACCCAAAATAGTTGTATTGAATTTACAGTCTTATAAGAGGATTTAAGAGCCTGTTGCCACTGCAAAGAGAGTAGCTAGAAATGTTACAGAGAACTTTTGAGAAGTTTTCTTTCTTCTCGAGCATGATTGCTAACCCCACTTTTTTCCCATTGCCTTTGGAGGTAATGAAAGAAACGCACTGAAGGTGAGAGTGAATTTTAACACCAATAAACTGCCATGGTATACAATGTTGCGCTGCATTTCTGAAATCACTGGGAGCATTGCTAGGCTTCAGGCATGCCCAGTGCTTCTGGCATCCTCTGCCAAACATTTCTCTGCACTGAACAACTACTGAAACCTTTCCTGAAAGTGGATTAACCCCTTCTGTAAGCCAGGCACATTCCACCCCACATCAGACTGATGGTCCAGCCTGTCATGTAAGCTAAGCCAAGGCAACGAGTCCCCCAGCTGGCCCGGAGCCAGGCATCCTGGTGGCCGGCCAGAGCCTCGCTGGGGTGCCCAGGCAGAAGAGACGCTCCGCTCTGCTCCGTGCGCTACCACCCTTGCAGACCTGCCTGTTTTAAATGGCCTGGGCTTAACATTTTCTGACTCCCCTGCGACATCTACCAAGTTTTCTGTACCTAATCTGTGCTAATAAAAATCATCATGACAAAACACTGGTTTGTATATAAATAGCCACAGGTTTCAGAGCAGTCACTGAGTTTATTGTAGCAGATTCAGTTGTTCACACTTTACCACTTGGTTTCCACTGCAGTTTATTAACTGACCATGCAAGTGGCCAATTAAAGAGAGTCTGCGAAGAGGTCGAGGAGTCTTTTGATAAAGGCTACCAAGCACTTGAGTAAGGAAGTTAAAAGGAATTCCCTAAAATACTGCAACTCCTTTTATATGACACAAATTATTATTGCTTATAAAGCACAGATGAGAAAAATAGGTTTTTAATGCAAAAAAACTCTGACCCAAACTAAAAGAATAGTTTTTTTTTTTTTTAACACGTAATTGAAATATGGGTTCTGATGGCTGCTTTCAGGCAAAACACCATGAAAAAGGAAGGCACAGCACAATTTTAGTGTCCTGTGAATCTACTGTGATTTATAGTCTTCAAATGAGGAATACTGCCCTGACAGTTTAAAAACTGTCCATACCATAAAAATGACAGTTTATGGTATCATGCCTCATTTTCTATTAAAAGAAAACAGGTTAATTCTTCTTTAGGAAATTTTCATTAATCCTTCTTTTTTAAGGCATTTATAGATACTTGGAGATTTATCAGACTTGGATAAAGTTTTCTGAGGATTTAGCATTTGCTTTTTGTTTCTCCTTGCTTGTTTGTTTTTTTTTTTCATTTTCCAATGCTTCTGCAGCCCCACTGCAGAATGCGATTGGCAGAGGACACCTTTGTCCATGTCCAAACAAGCTGAATGCCCAGAAGGACTGCTCGGAAAGGTCTTGTGCTGCAACCTGAACTAGCGTGGCGGTCAGGCTGGCGTCAGGAAAATGCTTCTTTTGCATATGCAAGACATATGTGTACATTT